TTTTGAAAAAATGAGCAGAAAAGTTATAACCTATGAAGATCGTATAAAAGTAGTGCATTTTCACCAGGAAGGTAAAACCGCTCGTGAAATGGGAAAAATAATAAAACGATCACATAGTTCGGTGGTAACAATCATCAAAAGATTCAGAGAGACAAAATCTTACGTTAATCACCATCGTTCTGGAAGACCGCATTTGAAGACACCCAATGATGATTGCCTTTTAATCAGGTTGGCAAAGAAATAACCGAACCATGCCGTCGCATGAATTAAGAAGGGAATGGAAGCTTTCAAATGGACGTCAAGCATCGGCATCACTTGTGTGTAGGACACTAATAGCTAACAATATGCTATGGAAAAAAGCTGTTCCAAAACCACGACTTACCAAACAAAATATAAAAAATCGAAAAAGATATTTGCTAAAGTGTCAAAGAATGGTCTAAAGAAAATTGGAGGATAGTAATGTTCAGTGATGAGATGAATATCGAGGTTGATAAACGAAAAAAAACAAATTATGATTAGCAGGCAGCCTTCAGAAAAATATAATCTCAATTGTATTGCTGAAAGAAACAAAACAAGGTTGTGGGTTGATTGGAATATGGTGCTGCATGACATATTATGGTCTCTGTATGTTTAAATTATTTTATGGTCGACTCAACTCTATTTATTACGTCGATATTTTAAATAACAAATTGTTTCCATCATTTGATGCACTTGAGCAAAGTGTGCCGTTTATTTTTCAGCAAGACAATACACCATGTCACACAGCTAAAATTATCTTTGAATGGTTTGAAAGCAAAAATATTGAGCGTCTAACTTGACCACCAAATAGCCCAGATCTAAACTGCATTGAAAATCTTTGGAGTTGGCTTGATAAAGAGATTGCAAAGAAAGCACCAAGGAGCTTTGAGGAGTTGCACAATATTTTACCAACAGTACTTGGAAATATTTCCAAACATATTTTAGAGAATTTAATAAAATGAATGCCAAATCATATAAATGAGTGCTTAAAAATTCATGATGGAATAACGCGGTATTAGATAAAAATTACCGTTTTTTGTTCTGTGGTTCTTAACTTTTTCACAATATTTTTAAAATAAAAATTACCTACAAAACTTTAGATAAATTTTTTTATTTGTTTATATGTCTTTGGCATTATTATTTTTTATTTTGTTTGTCTATTTTCTAATATTTATTATTATTATTATTTTTTTTTCCAGAAAAATATATTCGACTAAATAAAAATTTAAAAATAAAAATAAATTATGATTTGTTTTTTGGTGGTTTTTAAATTTTTCACAATACTATTTCATCTATAAAGACTCATTAGAAATGAGTCATCAAACTTCAATTCATACCAAAAATTAAATTACAGGAATCTCTTAACTACTTTAATATTTTATTAAGTCTTTTTTTTTTTTTATTGTTGAAAAGTAAACAAATTCTTTAAAATTGTTTACATCTCAACTTAGAATTTCCTTTAAAAAACTTAACCAGGATGCTTAAATAGAAAGAGCCATCTTGGAGATCAGCAGCATTGCTGAGTCAGAATTTGAACATCATAATCCACAATCATTCATAAGTATGGTTACTCCGCCACCACATAAATAAAGACGTTTATGAGGTGTTTGTCTAAAGTCCAATCAATCCTATCGGTTATGTTTTATCAAGAAAAAAACTAGGAGACAGAGCTGTTGTGATTTTTGTCTTTAGGGCTTTTGGACACAATGCTGAAATACTTGCACTTAACACATCGATCGTTCACTGTCTTCTTCAGAAACACTAACAAGAAACTGCTTCCAAAAACATTAGAGATTTTAGGCAAAGCACTGTCCTTCCAGAACTCTAAGATGGCAATCTGATACTTGATGTGATCGGTACAGAGGAGATAAACAGGAGAAAAGTTTTTCACTGGGGTCAAAAATCATCATATGATCTCAAATTTGGTACAAATTTATATTTTCGCATAAGAAACAGAATAGGAAGGCTGCACTATTTAGTTAAAAAAAATTATATATATAAATATATATATATATATATATATATATATATATATATATATATATATATATATTTATATATATATATATATATATATATATATATATATATATATATATATATATATATATATATATATATATATATATATATATATATATACATATATATCCCCTTCCTCCTCCCCCCCCCCCCGGATTTTTAGAGTTCAAAATGGTTAACTTCCAAGGATGACATAAACTAAAAAAAAATTTATATCTTCAAAATGAAATAAAATGAGGATAGTTTACAAAAAATTACTTCAATCAGAACTTGGGGGGAAAATTACTCCATTAGTTTTTCTCTCTTGGCTCTCGTCAAGAAAAATATTATTTTTGTAAAAAAATACTTTATTCTATAGTAGACCAAAGCTCTTTTATATATTTCAAATTTCATCAACAAAACTCTTAGTGCTTATTAACGGTGACCATATAAAATTTACAACCCCTTTAATTCATTACATTAAAACACAAACACAAAAATTAGTTAAATTTAAACTTTTTTTAATATTGATTTACGTTAGGGTAGAGTAATTTTTTTTCTGAAAAGTTTTTTTCACGTAGATGGGGTTCAAGAGGGCAATATACATTAGGATTTTTTTGTAAAAACCCCAAAAAATGTGCATAAGTAGTATGCTTAAGTGAAAATAACTGACATGAGTAACAAAACAAGTAGTTCTCAACAAATAAAATGCTATATGCCAACAGATTCAATGGCTTGAGACACAGGTGTTAAATTTCAGCTCATTGCTGCCGTTGTTGAAAATCTATTTGAAACATACAAGAATGTCGAAGCATTGATGAATATTATTCAACTGAATGACGCAACATTTTTCATGTGAAAAACGTAAAAATTGCCATTATTACTTCGGCCATTAAAACAATTTAAAAATCTAATCCATTCACCGTTAATAAATGAACACCTTCTTCTTAGAGTTGTTAATTATCTTTTTAAAAATCTTTCAGAATTTTGGCCTGGAGCCAAAGAATGGCCAGCTTAGTTGCACATTCAGCTTCAGCCGCACTATGACGAACATTTTAAAGTCAATTATTGACATAAGCTTTTAAAAAATATTGATATTCTTCAAAAAATGTCTGAAAAAGTTTTTGAAGTCTTCAGTCTTATTGAAACTCTACGACATTTCAAATAAGTTCTTCCTTCATGATTTGGAACAACACTAAAGGAAAGCTTTAGGACTGAAATTAAAAAATTCAAAACATCTCTTCTATTTTTACCAATATAAGTCACACCAAAGGTTTTTGCTATCTTCTACCACGTTGAAGAATTTATGTTAAAGCATCATTCTACACTCGTAATCTTTATTGATCAAGCAACTGAAGCACTTAAAATTCAATGCTCATTGGGAAAGCACTGCTCTGATCATCTAGAATATCGAAAGCAACTTTTCAACTATGTTGACTATAAAATAAAAGTATTGTATGAAAGCATATGCTAAAATTAAAAACTAAAATTGTTAATTTAAATCTGTAAAAATACTATTTATTTCTTGGCTCTAGTATTCCACACATATCTATTGCTATGCTTTGCTATGGTATCTGTATATATTTGACTATACATATTGTTTATCCTTTTAGAATAATAATTTTCAATTAAAATACAAATATTTGCAAGAAAGTAGATTAATTATTATAGGTACACAGTGGAGATTTAAAGGGTTTAAAAGGAATTAATTTTTTTTTTTTTATGAACCAGACGGTACTTTTTAAGGATTCAACTCCCCTCATTTCATTTTTAAAATCGCCTTTAGGTAGACATCTTTTTACAAAATTAATATTTTCCTTTACGGATGTGAAGAGAGAAATTATTGAGGCAGTTTTCCCCCTAAATTCTGATTGACGTAATTTTTTGTAAACCATCCTCATTTTATTTTATCTTGAAAATAAAAAAGTTTTAAGTTTATACCATGCTTCGAAGTTAACCATTTCGAACACAAAAAATCCAAAATCCACCTGGTAAAATACAAAACTCTGGCGCGGACAAAATTTAAAGATTTTAAAAACACTTATGTATTCATAAGGTCTCTATAATGCTTCCATGGAAAAATGTTTTTTTGGTACTTTCAGCTTTCAGATGAGGTTGATTTTGAATTGAACAGGGTGCGATTTCATGAAATTAGTTAAAAAAGAGTTCTCAATGACAAGACTTCACACAGTTTTCTTCGAGTTCCCCTTGACTACATAACTAAAGGTTTATCTTTTTAATCTTATCTTGTTTTCTCAAAATATAAATTGTAGTATTATTTTACTTTAATATTTTACTTTGTACACCAACTATATCTTATAGTTGTGTACAAAGTAATATTATTTTAATTATTTTAGAAGTATTTTGAATGTTTTTGCAATAAAAGTATATATTGTTAAAACTGTTAAAAAACTATATAAGTGTAAAAATATATGAAAAAATAAATGTCCCGTACGCGTTGACGCAAAACCACTAACCTTCCTCCCTCCTCCCTCCTTCCTCCTTGAACGTAACGTAATTTATGGACAACCCTTTACCTAAATTTCTGTTTCACCTTCTGCAAGTTCATCAGTGGCGTAACTAGGGGGAGCATCACCCCGCAAGGCGACGGGGGGGCCAGAGCTTAGAGGACCCCGCGGAGATTTTCAAAATTTTTTTATATGAATAATATGACTGGTAATAATAATATGAGTGTTACTAATTTCCATTTTATCAAATACATTTTATGAATATGTAATTTTTCACGTATCCCTACGGGCATTTTTTAAAAAAAGTTACATTCTTATCTAGAACGTTTAAAATTTCTAAACTTTGAAACAACTTAAACTAAAGTAAAAAAGTAAAGGAGCCCGCTTTACTTTTTTTGCGGGGGGGCCCCCAAATTTGTAGTTACGCCACTAAAATACATCAAGAAACTTCCTGATGAACCTGCAAAATATGCATTCTTTATTAAAGGAAGTAACAATTAAATAACGCATTAATAATACAAAAAATTTTTTACCAGCATTAAATATTCAAATATATCAGCATTTACAATGCTTAAACATATAATTACATTTTAATTGAATCTGTATTAGAAAATTAGTACGGCGAAATGATAGGTCTCAACTGATTTTCTGCATTACAAGTAAATTCAAATTTGCTGTATAAATTAGAGCCACAAATGCCATAGACAAGCCTATCGTAAGGCTTTTGATTGTAACAAAACTCTCTTGACTTTTGGATAACATTTTGACCACATATTTCGTATAAGCTGTAACTATACACGTGGTTGTTATTGCAGAAGGCGGTTATTTTATCAAACGCATTGCTTCTGCATATGTCGTACTTAGAGATTTCGTACGAGTTACCGTTGTTACAAAAGTGGGTGCTTTTCAAATAAATTTCCGCATTGCTCGTACAAAGTTTTAACATAGCTTTGACCGTTTTGACAAAAGAATAAGCTTTTTAAATGTATTTGAATTCCACACAACTCGTATATATTTTTATCAAAACTTTTACCATGGTAACAAAAAAAAAAACTTTTTAAATGCGCGCTAATTCCACATACCTCGTATAAACTTCTATCGTAGCTTCGACCATTTTGACAGAAAAATATGTTTTTTAAATGAATTCCACTTCCACACAACTCGTAAACACTTTTATCGGAACTTTGACCGTTGTGACAAAAAAATAAACTTTTTAAATGCGCGCCACTTCCACATACCTCGTATAAATTTCTATCGTAGCTTTGACCATTTTGACAGAAAAATATGCTTTTTAAGTGTATTCCACTTCCACACAACTCGTAAACATTTTTATTGGAACTTTGACCGTTGTGACAAAAAAATAAATTTTTTAAATGCGCGCCACTTCCACATACCTCGTATAAATTTCTATTGTAGCTTCGACCATTTTGGCAAAAAAATATGTTTTTTAAATGAACACCGCTTCCACAAACTTCATATAAGTTTTTATCGTATCTATGGCCGTTTTGGCAAAAGAATCCGCTTAATAAAGGTAGATTGCAAAAAAAGTTACCAAAAAGCCCAAATGTCTTTTTTTCATTTTCTATAAATATGAAAAAAACATATAGTTATAGTTATTTTAAAACAATCATCTTTTTATTTCGAGACTTCTTATTAATAAAATTCATTTTTAAAGTAGAAAATCAAAGAAATTTACTTACGATTCCACTGAGTTTCATCTTGCTGTGGTTGATTTATCAACTTGAGTTGGTTGTTCAAACCTTGGTCCGATTGTAACAGAACCATATTTTTACCATCCTCTATTTTGTCATCAACTGTGTTTCCATATGAAGTAGTTATAAAAACTGACAACAACAATACATAGATTGAATGCATATCTATAATAAAATATAGTGATGTAAAATTAAACAGTTATAATAAGTTATTATTTGTTAAGTTATTATGCATCATAAATTATTATGCACATCCAGAAAAATTACCTCTGTGTATTTCTCTATGTAAAGTGTTGTTGTACTTCAACCATATAAACAATTTCAAATCACAAAAAGATATTTATATTAAAACTGAGAAACAATATTTTGAGATAATAACTTCCTTGAAATATAAAAACAGTTTTGCTTCCTCCCAGCAATAAGCGGAAAACTAGCCTGTCTACTTTAAAATGTATTTTTGTTACAAGAGATGTTACCAGAGTTAACAGGTAACTGCTGTTTCCAAAGCAACAGTTAAGCAGTTATTGTACTAGCGTATGGTTAATTATTATTTGCAAATAAATAAGAATGTAAATAGTTCTTTTTTGGAAAAAAATCACTCAGAAGAACTATATCATTCTATATCATAAGACTACCATCTGAAATAATAATTTGAAAATTTTTTTGTACTTTTCGTACACAAACATGCATCAGTAGAATGGTTTTTACAATTTAGAAGCCTCGGACTTAAAGATATATGCATACTATTATAATTATCTTAAAGAGCTACAACAAAAAATATTTTTATCATATTTTAGGCTGCCTGAATGTTTAAATATATTTTTATCATTTTATGCTTTTTTGTGTTAATGACGCAATAGCTTGAAAAATATAAAATGGTTTTCTAAACCATACTTTAGCTAGAAATATTTGATGATTGCTATTTTTCATAAAAAAATATATTAAATATGAGTTGTTGGGGTATAATATTTTACTTGAAACTTTCGTTTTTACAAAAAATAATTTCATGAACTCGACAAATTTGCTACTTCCGTGCGTGACTTCCGAGCGTGACTTCCGTGCGTGGCCATACATAAACTGTATTTAAAGCTGAGACTATGATACATATTTTTCAAGGAATTAAAGTTTATTTATCAAGTAACTAAAATTTGTATTTTTCTGTTTCATCATTGATTCCGCTTCAAACTTAATTTATTTTTTGATAACGTTACTTATGTATGCAATTCTTTGTTTACAATTTATTATTAGATTAAAATTAAATGAAAGTAGGTTGAAGATGATATAATAGAAAAAACGTGTACAAGATTGCGTGGGTGATTTTTTAGAAATGCCCGTATTTGATTATTATTTTTTATTTTTTAATTAAGTAAGGTGCTCCAAGAAGACCTAACGGTTTTATCACAAAGGAACCACGGAGATAAATTTAACCAGAAAGCTCAAGTCTCCTTCCTTACCAATATCGCTTATTTTACTAAAACCGGTATCGAACCACGAACCTCTAGGTTGGAGCCAGAATTTTCTATGCTGTCTTTTAAATTGTTTTATTTCTTTTTTTCTAATCTTTGTGTGTTCGTTTTTCAAACACACTTTCTCATGGTTCAAAATTACAGATTATAAAGATCAAGTTGAAATTGACTTTTGCGGAAATTGGTATTTATTCTCTGTAATACAAATAGCTGGAGAAGAAGAAACCAAAATACCAATTAGTCTTCTCATTGAAAACCGCGTCACATTCATACAGATTTTTAATAAAAACATATTCACATTAATGCGAATCATGTGATTTATATAAAAAGATAAAATAAAAGTAAATAAAATTTTTCCGAAAGTTAATTAAGAATAAATAAATAGTAAAAAATAAAATTAAGAAAAAGAAGTTACATAAAAATAAAGTAGTAAATAAATAAGGAGAACAATTTTTATACTTCATCTTTTATACTTTTACTAAATTTTATACTTAATCTAAATAGTTTTTTTAAAAAATTAATTAAAATCAAAATAATTTAATTTAGTTACTAAAAAGTTATTTCTAATTTTCTGATTTCAATAAACAATTTTAGAACCATAGATTGAATATCTTTTGTTTGTTTTTAAATAGAAAGAATTAAATAGAAAAACCTTAAAACTCAAATTAATACAAAGTTTATTTGTGACAAACAATTTAGAAACTTTTTTTAACACTATATTAATATTAATAAACAATTTAAATAACAATAGTTGGATATATTTGGATTTAAAAAAAATAACAATAGTTGGATATATTTTTTATAGAAAACGCAAAATAAGCGCAATATAATTGTTACTTACAAAATTAATTCTAAAAATAAACTTTTCTATTATAACAGAAATAATTTGTTTAGCTGTCAATTGTTGAAATCACTTGTAATAATTACTTCCTTTACGCAGCTTATCGATATCCTCAGACGGCATTATTATGTTATTTGCCCACACGGAAAGCGTAATGGTTAAACTGCAATATTTGCCATGTAGCCTATAGCCGAAATACGCCTATAGCCGAAATCTTTTACCTTAGCTAGTTTTTTTTAGCCCAAAAGTTAGGCAAGGTTAACATCTACAGCGTGGTTTACTACATTCACAAACTTAAAAAAAAAAAAAAAAAAGTGAGTACGGGATATTTTTTATCAGTATCAGGATGGTTCAATGCTACGATAATGGGTGATTACTAATGATTACCTAAGAGAAACCAACAAAAATATTTTTTTTTGTTGTGTTTTAAAAATATTTTTATTAAAAGTTTTCATTAAAAACGATTATTTTTTAATTTTTACATTAAAAAAATAAGTGTTAAGTGAATAGATTTAAACATTTTTTACAAATATTTTTTTGTTAGCTGTGTTTTTGTTGTTTTTTTTGGGTGAAAATTTAATGGCCAGTGTCAAAAGATAAATGCTTTAAAAATGCCCCCCCCCTCCATTTTTAACCCCAAATTTATTTCATCTCGCAATGATGTTTGAATCTGCTGCTACGCCTTTAAAAAAGAACATTAAAAATATTCTCATACATTATCTTCTTAAAAACACATGCCTACGTAGTTTTCTATGTTAATTAAACTAAAATAAAAAATCTATAAAGTGACATTCTTTTCAGACAAACTCCTCCCCTCCCTTTGTCCTTTTTTGTCTTTTTTATCTCAACATCCTCCCCCCCCCCCTCCTCTATTAGGATGACTTCCTTTATGGATGGTCCCTTGAAGAACTGAGTTTTTTTGCCAGAAAAATTTGAAACCATTTTTGTTTTTTTTATTTAATATAATTTTAATACATTTAATATGATTTCCGTGGCATTTAAATATTTTATTTTTTTTAATCTATTCTTAGACATCCATATTGCTGTGAAAACAAACTAAACAGAATACAACTCAGAATGGAAGGGGCGGGGGGAAGATAAACAGCTAAAAGTAAATTAAAACTAATAATTTTCAAAAGAAAAAAAAAGACAAATAAAGATTACTTACAGGTTAAAACTTTAATAGTGATTATTTCATTAAATCATCATTAAAGTTTCAACCTGTAAAAAATCAACTATATAATGATGACTTAGAGGTGTTATTTATTAGGAGGTAATATTCATTATATTTATTGCTAATATACATAATTATATTTATTACACTTACTGCTAATATAATTATATATAATGTAGTTTAAAAAAACAATATTTTTTATACAAGACATTGTTATTTTATGTTTTTGTTTTGTTCATTAGTTTAAATAGTTATCTATAAGAGATTTTTGCTCATAATTTAAAATATAATATGAAATAAGTTAAATAATAAATCAAAAAAGCTTCTTTTTTTATGATTAGATAAGCTCAAAAGCAGTTGTTATTTTTTCATGACTACATAAGCTCAAAAGTTGTCATTTCCTCGATTATTATATTGAAGTATTATTATTCAGTATTGTATTTTAGAAAACTATATTATTACTGGGTTATAAATGTTATGTCACCTAAGTACAAAAAAATTCATGTCACTTAAGTGCAAACAAATTTATGTCACTTGAGTGCTTTGTAACAACTACTATATTATCATGTTAATAATGTTTTTTGGACTGAAAAGGGAAAATAAGTCAAGGTTTTTAAAATAGATTAAAATTTGTTTTTAGTCATGAAAATTGATTATTTAAAACAAGCTGAAAAATATATTTGAGTCATGTAAACTGTATAATCTGCAAGGAACAAAAATCTTCTGGGTAATCTGCCTTGAATTGCAAACGGAAGTATGTTTAATAAAAATAAAATATAGTTAAAAAGAAAATGTTTAAAGTAATATTAAGTAAAAAGTGTAACACTTTTCTTTTATTCAACTTATAAATATAAATAATTCGTATGAAAAAAACATAACGGCAAATACAGTTATGTTTTTTTCAAGCAAATTATACATTGAACAAAAAAGGTAATTACCGTTATGTTCCACATATAATTCGTATGAAAAAAAACACAACGGTATTTGCCGTTATGTTTTTTTCATACGTTTTATACATTGAACATAACGGTAATTACCCATTAAAAACAAGAAATCTGGCGTAACTCAGAATATTTTTTGATGATGATTCACTTCACTAGGTTTCACATATCATTACATATGTGGTTGGTTAACTTCAATATCAATTAATAATTTGTTGTTTAGTAATGTTGGATTAGTATACCATCAAGACAGACGATAGTATTTTTTTGTCAATTTACTTGATGCAGATTTTGCAGACCTTGAATATCAAAAGGGCTTGTTTTTGATCGTTTCTTCTATAGCAAGTTTTCTATTACATTTGTTTTTGTTCTTTCTTTTTTGACCTCTGCTTCATATATATATATATATATATATATATATATATATATATATATATATATATATATATATATATATATATATATATATATATATATATATATATATATATAAATTTTACTCACACACGTAAATCCTGTAAATTCACTCACGCACGTAAATCTTAAAAAAGATGTTTATAATTTTATCTATAAATTGTAAATTTTATATAAATAAATTGTATATTTTTTATGTTTTTCATTGTATATTACTATTTGTATTAAAAATCGACTTTGGAAATATTGCAAGTGCAGAGTTCAACATACAATTTTGTTTTATTTGCAAATTCAATATACATTATAGCCAAGTTTAATCACGTTTAATAATATTTTGCGATATTTTCTCCAGCGCATTTGAGCGTTGATTTAACGTTATATTTCAACCTTTACTCGACGTCTTTGAGTCACGTTAAATCGACGTTTTACTACCAACGTTACAAATCCTTGCAAAATCAACTGCTTTAACAACGTTAAAGTAACGCTTTTCAAGTAACGTTTTTCAACGTTAAGTTGCGACGCCTATGCAACACTTTTTAAGTAATGCTTTTTCAACGTTTAGACATTTGCGACATTTTTGTAACGTTTTTTAGTAACGATTTTTCAACGTTACGCTACAACGTTTAATCAACGTCTCTTTAAAAACGTTACATATCTTTGCAAAATCGATTACTTTGTCAACGTTTCCGCAACATCTTTTGCGACCGGTTTTCAACGTTGATTCAACGCTGACATGTTAGCTGGGTAGTTGTGAAAGTTTAAAGAAAAAAAAAAAGAAAAAAAAAGTCAAGTCCACAAAGATTTAATTTTTTATTACCAAGAATTTTTTATTGGTACTTCCTTATTACTTGAATTTTAAAATTTAACTTATAAATATAAACTCAACACAAAAATAAAACTGTCGCTAAAAAAATTTATTTAAAGCACTAATATACGGCGTGAAAAATCTTAAATTGCGATCAAAAGACTATCTGAAGTTTTATTTTATCAAAAAAACGTGTTTTTTTATCTGAAAAAAAGATTCCCTTGTTCTTCAAGTTTTCCATGTTTTTTTTATATATATTTATAGCAATGAACTATTTATTTCTTCGCTTTTGACAGAAAAAACTTGATTTCTTCCTATGTTTAAAAATAAAAAAATCGAGGTAATATATATTATAAGATTGGATAAAATTTTGAGGGGGGCAAACAAATTTTTAAGGGAGGCAAGGTTAACTTAAATTTTATTTTTTCGCTTGTTGCGCTTTTGTGTTGTTGACTTGCTCAACTTGGAGACTTTTTAAAATAAAAAAATAGAATATTCATTGGCTTCAGTACATACACCGACTATCTTATAGCCTGCTGCTACAAGGGAGTGCAGCTACATCAAGTATCTTATAGCCTACTGCTACAAAAAAGTGCCGCTACATCGACTGAGGGTTTGTCATGGGGCAGCAATATTTTTTTTAATTATTATTTCAATTGATATTTCTAATGTTTAAAAAGCCTCCACTCACAAGAGCGCAACAAGCGAAAAAATAAAATGATTTTACGCCGCTATTCTGAAATATTACCAGTACATAAATATGTACTAATATATAATAATATCTATACATATAATATATATATATATATATATATATATATATATATATATATATATATATATATATATATATATATATATATATATATATATATATATATATATATATATATATATATATATATATATATATATATATATATATATATATATATATATATATATATATATATCTGTGTGTGTGAGTAAAATTTATGTGTGTGAGTGGATTTACAGGATATCGTATCAATAAGCCAGGATATCATTGAGATACAGAACCTAAATCAAAAAATAAAACTTGTATCATTATCAATCTGAAAGCAAATGTTTAAAAAATGTTATTGAATTAGTACGATCATTATTAAATTTAAAAAGTAAAAAAAAATAAAAAAAAAATAAAAAAAAAAAATATATATATATATATATATATATATATATCATATAGAGGCGGACTGGCCATATGGGCGTACCGGGACAATGCCCGGTGGGCCGGTACAAAAGTGGGCCGATAGGCTGGTAAAAAAATTAGGGTGATTAATCAAAAAATTCAAATGAAACTAATATAATACATATTTGAACTTAATGTATGTTCTTTACAAAGAATTATTTGTAAAATTAGTGACGTACGTATTTTTTAATCCTTCATTAAGTGTAATGCATAATACATACATGCATACATACATACATATATACATGCATACATATGGTACAAAAATGCAAAAACTAAAAAAAATGAAATGGCAAATAAAAATACTAATCAAATTCAAAGACCATTGGCAATAGGAAAACACGAAATCTAATCCAAAAAAAAAAATTAACAAATCACTATAGAGTCTTCAATAAACCTAAACCCTGTCATAGATACCAATTTCGAATTATGCTAACCAATCAAAATTGTAAGAAGATGAAAACCCCGCGCAATCTTAATTTATCTTGAAAGTCAATAATATAAGCATAGGAAAATAATATCGTTTAAAAACTATATATAATAATAGATTTTTCAAATGAATGAACCCAAAATAAGAAAAGG